TGTTGTTGTTGTTGTTGTTGTTGTTGTTGTTGTTGTTGTTGTTGTTGATTTTGTGGTTGTTGCGATTGTTGTTGTTGTTGTTGTGGATGTTGTGATTGTTGTTGTTGTTGATTTTGTGGTTGTGGTTGTTGCGATTGTTGTTGTTGTTGTGGATGTAGTGGTAGTTAATGTTGTAGATGTTATTGTTAATGTTGCTGCTGTTGTTGCTGTTGTTGATGTTGTGGATGCTGTTGTTATTGTTAATGTTGTGAATGTTGATGTTGTGGATGTTGTTGTTGATGTTGTGAATGTTGATGTCGTAGTCGATTCTATATTGAAATAATGATTTTAGAGTGAGACTAAACGATTGAATAAGACTTGTTGCTTCTTCTGTAACAATGTATCGACGTTAAATATGAGTTAATTATAATAAAATAGGAAATTTTTAAATGATTTCTATTATAATTGTAATTCTATGATATTTACTTCAAGTATATTTCTCTTATGATAATTTTGACAACTCAATTTGTACTTCTTATAAGTTTAATAAAAAAAGAAACTTTTTGAATCACACAGATTGAGTTATCTAATATTAGCATATTGATTTTTTTTCTTGAAATCTTTTATTTTTATTTAACACTTTCAGAACTATTATCGAGTACTATTCTCATATTACGATAATTAAAAGTACATATCACATAAATTATCCACTTCTCATTCAATATGAAAACGTATGACTTTTGGAAAATAGCTTACTAATGTACTAATTAACATGGAGGGTCAGCATTATTGAAAAGTGTCGTTTCTCGATGATTTTTGGAAATTGAATACGTTCACTAGTAATCCTAGAATTTTTCTTATTTTATCATTAGTACGACTTATCACTAATAACAGAATTGTGTTGGTATATAAAAAAAAAGGAAAATGTTATCTTTCGGCTGTAAGGGATCAAAAGTTTCTAAATTTATTGCAAAGCTTCAGTGGCGTTATTTAATGAATGTGACATATCATCAACGCTAAATAATAATTAGTATCTGACTTAGCCATTAATTCAAATATTTACAACAAATAAATGGATCTTCCCATCGATTAAAGACTCGTCTAGACTGGTGAATGTGAGTATCAATCTAAAGATGAAGTTGACACGATGAATTTGAATGGTAAATCTATATAATATTAACACTCTTCTCTAACATCTAACCTGCTAAACTAAAAATGGTGTGGTTTTCACTGCAAAAAAAATCTTATGAAATTTTTTCAGATATGTCTAGTTTGTTGGATAGTGAAACTATGTAATATTTCTTTTAGTATAATCTGTACCGAAAATATACACCATTCAATGACAAAAGTATGAAATTTTTGCAATATTCATAATATATTTACTCTGTGCTATGAATATTGCTGATTGATTCATGAATATCAAAGAAGAATTGAGATTAAATTCAATGAAGATCGAAGTAAAATTTGTATAAAATAATTGACAAGTTTGATTTATTGAGAAGTAATTTAATGTCGATATTGTTGCATTTGAATTTATCATTTCACATATACATTGGCTTTGCGTTATATTCCATAATGATTTAGATATATTACCAATCAATATATTATTATCTATTTTACTGATAAGAATACAATCGCCAGTAGAAACTACCAGTAAAACAAAAAATATCCAAAACATCTTTTATGACTCGATGTTTTAAACTTTTTTGTTAGAAATATTTTAGTTATTAAACATTACTGTTTCTATTTCCCTTCATTTTCTCGAACTCTCTCGTTCAATATTTAATCACTACAAAAAAAAGTGTTGTAGATTGTTAGTCAGGTTTGTGTGAAAGAATAACTGCAATCACGAATAGTACACATACACAAAACGAGTAGAATAGAAAAAGGAGAAAAGATTTGACGAAAAGAAAAGAAAATATTACCTTACTTTCTTTAATTATTTATGAAATTAAAATCGTCATCATCAAATAAAGAGAAGAAAAAAGAAACAGTTGTTTTTCTGTATATGTAATGGCGTTCAGTCAAACAGTATAAAGTAACTAGCGATCATATTTCTAGACCGTATTCTGAATGGTGCTGAACAAGTCGTTACTATATTTTGTTTGGTTCAGCATACTGATTAATGCATTACAAACTAAGATTATTATGTACAATTTAATTTTTGTTTCAATCAGTTAATCAGATTTATTCTTACAATAGCCTCATATAATTAGCTACATAAATGCAGAAATTATAACAACATAATTTTACTGATTATAGTTATTTTACGACTAATAACAGCGTTCTCTACCATCTTGAGGATATGGGAGTACCCAAGCAGACAAGGTTTTGCAAAAACGCATGAGAACGCGCTGTAACTGAAGTTTTTAATGTTTTTTCGTAAATTTTTTCTGTAACTGATAATAAAATTTTTACTGTGTAAACAATGAAATAGCGAGAATCATAAATATTTTCTTTTCATAGTTTTTTCCCGTAATTGATAATAAAAATCTACTGTATGAACAATGAAATTGGAAGAATCATCAATGTTTTCTTTTCATAAATTTTTTCCGTCACTAATGATAAAAATTTTACTGTATAAACAATGAAACAGGAAGCATTATGAATGCTTTTATACATAAAATTTTACATTTGCGATATAATGAGATCTATTTAAAAAGACGCATCTAAGCTTATTCAATCATTAATATTCGAGCGTTTTAATGGGTAAGAGAAACTTGCATTGTTAACAGTATTAAATGAGCAGTATAATGGTTTAAACTCATATATTTTTGTATATCTTTCTTTTTTCAATCGTGTAAAGGCGTAAATACTCATTTTTTTTGCGACTTCACGCTTTAGTTTTGGATGTATATTCAAAATCCATTCTTTATGAGTACTTTAGGAATATTGTTTTTTTCTGACAAAATAATGATATGTATATATTATTTTGTAAATGATAATGTATTAAGAAATGTGAATGATTAAATAGTTTGATTACATATAAGAAAAACGTTATGATTGAGTTCACAAAAGAAAATATCATACTGTCTATATCGATTAATAAAGCTCAGCACTATTGAGATAACCACCGTTGTTCCCTCCAGTAACTAATACTTTTCCATTTGCTAATGTAGATGCTGTGTGATATTGTCGTGCGCCGTTTGAGCTTCCTGTAGTTGCCCAAGTGCCTGTTAATGGATTATATAATTCAGCACTACTGCAAGCAGCACCGCTGCATCCACCAGTAACTAATACGAATCCATTTGTTAATGTGGATGCTGTATGATAATAACGTGCGACATTCATGCTTCCAGCAGCCGTCCAAGTACCTGTTGATGGATTGTACAATTCAGCACTATTGCAAGCAGCACCACCGCATCCACCAGTAACTAGTACTGATCCATTTGCTAATGTGGATGCTGTGTGATAACCTCGTGCGGTACCCATGCTGCCAGTGGTTGTCCAAGTGCCTGCTGATAGATTGTACAATTCAGCACTATTAAGATAACTGCCGTTGTATCCACCAGTAACTAATACGAATCCATTTGCTAATGTGGATGCTGTGTGCATATATCGTGCGACATGCATGCTTCCTGTAGTTGCCCAAGTGTTTGATGATGGATTGTACAACTCAGCACTATTGGAAGAACTACTACCGCTTAATCCACCAGTAGCTAGTATTTTTTCATTTGCTAATGTGGATGCTATGTGCATATATCGTGCGACACTCATGCTGCCTGTGGTTGTCCAAGTGCCTGTTGATGGTTTGTACAATTCAGCACTACTGAGAACACCAGTCTTATATCCACCAGAAACTAATACTGATCCATTTGCTAGTGTGGATGCTGTGTGAAGAAATCGTGCGGTATTCATGCTGCCTGTGGTTGTCCAAATGCCTATTGATGGATTGTACAATTCAGCACTATCAAGATAACTACCGTTGTATCCAGCAGTAACTAATACTGATCCATTTGCCAACGTGGATGCTGTGTGATATCCTCGAGCAACATGCATGCTTCCTGTCAGTGTCCATTCTAAATAAGGCGGAAAAGTGAGAAAAAATGTTGTTCTTAAAATGACTTCAAATCTCTCATGTGCATAAGTTGTCTATCTATTGATGACAGATTAAATGATTTCGAGCGTTCAATAAGCTTCTCTTCGTTTTCATGATTAAGATAGGATTCATTATGAAATGTCAAGTTAAACTGTTTAAAAAAATTATTATA